AGACCTAACCTTCGAGTTCGGCCTCTTCTTCACTGATTTCGACCGATTCCTGTTCTGGTTCCCTTTCTTCTGGCTTCTGCCTCTCTGCTCGAAACTTAGGGCTGAACCTGAACCTTCTGATTCGGACGATTTCCTTCTAACCTCCTCGGATAGAATCATGCTAACAACCTCATTCAGCTTCAACTTCTCTTTCCCCGCCGAATTGCTGATTGCCGTCACACAACCTGCCCAACTATCCGGCAACTGCGATAGTAGTAGAAGGGCCTGCACTTCGTCATCGAACGTGATGTCCACGGAGATAAGTTGATCAACAATCGTGTTGAACTCGCTGAGGTGCATCGTGAAGGACCGTCCTTCTGCCATCTTGAGGTTGAAAAGAGTTTTGACTAGATGCACCTTGTTTGCTGCCGACGGTTGCTCGTACATCTTCGCGAGCGCTTCCATAAGCCCCACCGTCGTCTTCTCCTTCAGAATATTGTGGGCTACTGATTTGGCGAGCGACAACCGGATTTGCCCTAGAGCCTTCCTATCCAGTACCTCCCAATCACCATCTGACTCCGTCGTCTTCTTTCCCTTTTCCTTGCCCAGAAGCGGGCGATACAAGTCCTTCTGGTACAGATAGTCCTCCATCTGCGACTTCCAGTAGGCGAAATCCGATCCGTCGAACTTCTCAATCTTTGATTTGCTTTCCTCTGCCATGGCTTTCACACAAATTGCTGAACGAAGCTCTGATACCAGTTGTTGGGGATTCGAAACAATCAATCGAACCCTTGCCCTTCCGGACCTTGTGTTGAAAGTAGAAAAGTAGGAATAAAACCACAAATAAAGATCTAACTTGCAAAAAAAATAGTAAGGGAGATGAACACACAGATTTAACGAGGTTCGGCAACGTGCCTACGTCCTCGGGAGCCACACCACACAATCTTTTTATTAATTGAAGAAGAAAATACAAGCTCTCAAACAAGGGGTAAATCTCTCTGAGATTCTCTCTCTCTTAGCAGCCAAAAAGCTCTCTTTTTGATGTTCTTTTCAAACCCTAGAAACGTTTGGGTATTTATAACAAACCCCAGCAGAACAGGATTCCTAGATAAAATAGGAAACAGCGAATCTGCGTCGCGGTCGACCGCTTTGCCAAGGTCGGTCGACCGGTCAGAACGACGAAATCCTACAGGGTCTTGTGCACGATATCGGTCGACCGCAGCGACCACGCCGGTCGACCGGCCAGAGCGAAAACTTCTTCTCAGTCTCCTGCAGTGCACGCGGTCGACCGGATCTGCCACTGCGGTCGACCGCACAGTCTTCTGACTGTTTTCTTCGTCTTTTAGATTGCAGCTTTGGGTCTACACACTTAGACTAACAGATGATTTGGATGTTAATATAGATTGGATGGAGGTTACTGAATGAGAAGGAAAGAAGTCGACGTTGCTGCTTCTCTGACTCCTGGGTCTTGTCAGTTGGATGGTCTGTGCTCACGAGCAAGGACATTAGAGCGCAAGGGATGGCTCCCAAACAAAAGCTGCTGAAGCTTATGTCAATGATTTATAAGAGAATAAGCTATGCTATAAAACTAAAGGCTTGATGTATTTTTTTCATTCAAAGATGTAACATGAGCATAAGTTCCTCCTAATATATAACTTCAAACCAAATTTGTATGCTTTTTCATTCAAAGATATAACATCATAAAATCTAAATGAAAAAAGTCATACAAACAAATAAAACAATATAAGAAGGAGAATTGAAAAAGGTACTTATTAGTAATGCATATTTCATACTTTTAAGGGGTTTATGATTATTTTATCCAATCTAATACTTATTAGTAGTGTAGATTCCAAAAGTTAGCACCCTCTGACTTATATGTGGCTCCGCCGCCGAGTTTAATGGTGGTCATTATGACGATCCGAGAATTTTAGTGGTCTTATCAAGATATGGTTAGTGGGTGGATTTGGATGGTAGCACCGTAAAATGGATGATCGCCTTTGAGCTTCCGCATGTGGTCTCTAATCTGGCATTGTGCATTAACAACTAGAAAAGAAGACCAAGTGAAGAAATAAATTTGAGTATTTCTACCTCCAAGTAAGGTGACTTAATAACTACAACATTAGGAAATAGAAATAGCTAGTAATTGGCATTTCATTGACCTTTGCATATTTCCATGACAAGAGAGAGGCAAAGAACAAACTTCTATTGAAAAGAAAGAAATGGAATGCTTGTAACCAAGTTGGACGCAACCATCCTGACTAGGACTTGAGAAAGTATTGCGCCACTCCATGCAAACATCTATCCAAGAGTACAACTGTTTGAGGAAGATATATATCCACTTCTTATTACATATGTCAATAGGACTACAAGAGTGAAGGATGATAATTTAAGACATTAAAGTTACTTGTATTAAGCTAAGTGATTGGCAATTTAGCAACAAGAACAAGACTGGATCTCTTGTGAGCAGTAAGTCCAGGTGACTCACTCATATCTAGAACTTCTCCTTGCATTTCATCAGCCGATTCCCAATCAAAGTGACCCAAGAGACGAGCAAGAGTGATTTCAATTGTAGCCATAGCAAATTCAATTCCAGGACAACCTCTTCTTCCAGCACCAAAGGGTATAAGCTTAAAGTCTTGTCCTTTAAAATCAATGTCGCAATTGATAAATCTTTCAGGATAAAATTCTTCAGGCTTATCCCATGATCTTGGATCCCTTCCAATTGCCCAAGCATTGACAATGACTCTAGTTCCAGCCGGAATATGATAACCTTGTAGTTCAACTTCTTCCATTGTTTCTCGAGGAAGTAACAAAGGACCAGGAGGGTGCAGCCGTAGAGTTTCTTTAATTACTGCTTTCAAGTACTTCATTCTATCAATGCTTTCCTCTGTGATCTCTCCTCTACATAAAGTAATTCCTCGAACCTCTTCTTGTACTCTCTTCATTACATCTGGATTCTTGATGAGCTCTGCCATCACCCATTCAATTACTGTATATGTTGTGTCTGTCCCAGCTAAAAACATGTCCTATAATATCAAATTGCATAGGTTTAGTAATAAAACTTTTCTTTTTCAGTTGAACCATCATGTACTATATGTACAATTTTATTATCGAATATTTCTTAATTATGTGATTTTTTAAAATTTTTCAGGCTATCCATGCAAGATTAGGAGGGGGGTAGCTCGAGTCTTCTTTAATTTGACGATGATTAGAGATGAAAGAATGTGTCTTCCACAAACTTTTATTTTAATTAGTTTTAGATAGTTTCATGTATTTTTCTTTGGAACGATTAGGATATTAACTCTTGTTATTAGTATTGAATATTTGAGGATGGTGTAATTTTATTTATTGATGTTATTAATGAATGGAATTTTTTGTTTTCCCTCTTATTCATTATTGGGTATTTTTAATATATTTTTGTTGTGAATCTTAATGTCAGATTGAGAATAATATGATAGTTGCCTATGAATGAAAAAATTATTATTGATGTATATTAGAAATTTGTAGTCTATAATGACGGTTTTATAAACCGTATTTTGTTCATCAACGAAGGGAAATCACCGTCGTTGATGGGTTACTAATTACCCATTATGAGGACTTTTACGACGGTATCCAACCGTCATTAATTAGTCTTCAACGATGGGAAAATATCCCCGTAACTAATGGTAACGACGGGAAAATATCCTCGTAACTAATGGTAACGACGGAAAAATATCCTCGTAACTAATGGTAACGACGGGAAAATATCCCGTCACTGATGGTAACGACGGGAAAATATCCCCGTTACTGATGGTAACGACGGTAATAATTACCGTCGTAAATATTAACGACGGTAATATGTTCCGTCGTTATAGACTCTATAACGACGGGTAGTATATCCCTTCGTGACCCTTTAGCGAAGAGGGCTTCAACAACGGGTGACGAAGGGATTTTTCCCCGTCGTTAGCATACAATAACGAAGGTTTTCAGCTCTTTAACGAAGGGAAATCCCTTCGTTAAAGACGTAATTTCTTGTAGTGTCATCCCCAGTGCATAGAGAATCCTCAGATCTCTTGTTGGTATAAAAAAGTTGCCGCTTACCTTAAGGTTAAGGTGGAAAAATACAAGCAGAACCTGGATGATTATGATGTTAATATAGATTGGATGGAGGTTACTGAATGAGAAGGAAAGAAGTCGACGTTGCTGCTTCTCTGACTCCTGGGTCTTGTCAGTTGGATGGTCTGTGCTCACGAGCAAGGACATTAGAGCGCAAGGGATGGCTCCCAAACAAAAGCTGCTGAAGCTTATGTCAATGATTTATAAGAGAATAAGCTATGCTATAAAACTAAAGGCTTGATGTATTTTTTTCATTCAAAGATGTAACATGAGCATAAGTTCCTCCTAATATATAACTTCAAACCAAATTTGTATGCTTTTTCATTCAAAGATATAACATCATAAAATCTAAATGAAAAAAGTCATACAAACAAATAAAACAATATAAGAAGGAGAATTGAAAAAGGTACTTATTAGTAATGCATATTTCATACTTTTAAGGGGTTTATGATTATTTTATCCAATCTAATACTTATTAGTAGTGTAGATTCCAAAAGTTAGCACCCTCTGACTTATATGTGGCTCCGCCGCCGAGTTTAATGGTGGTCATTATGACGATCCGAGAATTTTAGTGGTCTTATCAAGATATGGTTAGTGGGTGGATTTGGATGGTAGCACCGTAAAATGGATGATCGCCTTTGAGCTTCCGCATGTGGTCTCTAATCTGGCATTGTGCATTAAGACTTTATAACTACGACATAGTAGTAAGTCAATGGAAACACATTAGGAAGAAACTAGTAATTGGCATTTCATTGACCTTTGCATATTTCCATGACAAGAGAGAGGCAAAGAACAAACTTCTATTGAAAAGAAAGAAATGGAATGCTTGTAACCAAGTTGGACGCAACCATCCTGACTAGGACTTGAGAAAGTATGTTTTTGGGATATCACATCATGTAAAATATGCGCCACTCCATGCAAACATCTATCCAAGAGTACAACTGTTTGAGGAAGATATATATCCACTTCTTATTACATATGTCAATAGGACTACAAGAGTGAAGGATGATAATTTAAGACATTAAAGTTACTTGTATTAAGCTAAGTGATTGGCAATTTAGCAACAAGAACAAGACTGGATCTCTTGTGAGCAGTAAGTCCAGGTGACTCACTCATATCTAGAACTTCTCCTTGCATTTCATCAGCCGATTCCCAATCAAAGTGACCCAAGAGACGAGCAAGAGTGATTTCAATTGTAGCCATAGCAAATTCAATTCCAGGACAACCTCTTCTTCCAGCACCAAAGGGTATAAGCTTAAAGTCTTGTCCTTTAAAATCAATGTCGCAATTGATAAATCTTTCAGGATAAAATTCTTCAGGCTTATCCCATGATCTTGGATCCCTTCCAATTGCCCAAGCATTGACAATGACTCTAGTTCCAGCCGGAATATGATAACCTTGTAGTTCAACTTCTTCCATTGTTTCTCGAGGAAGTAACAAAGGACCAGGAGGGTGCAGCCGTAGAGTTTCTTTAATTACTGCTTTCAAGTACTTCATTCTATCAATGCTTTCCTCTGTGATCTCTCCTCTACATAAAGTAATTCCTCGAACCTCTTCTTGTACTCTCTTCATTACATCTGGATTCTTGATGAGCTCTGCCATCACCCATTCAATTACTGTATATGTTGTGTCTGTCCCAGCTAAAAACATGTCCTATAATATCAAATTGCATAGGTTTAGTAATAAAACTTTTCTTTTTCAGTTGAACCATCATGTACCATATGTACAATTTTATTATCGCGTATGTGTTGCTACTCACCTTTTGTACCTGGTTTCATGAGTTTAATTACCTAACAGTTAAATCAGATAATGATTATCATTAATTGGTCATGAGAAGTTTGAACTAGGTATACTCTGTGCTCTACATCGATGTTCACCTACCAATTAATGATAATCAGATAATGATCCACACATCAAAAGTGTATACTTCCTGATTCATGTTTATGTTGATCCACACATTCTTTGGAACTAAATTCATGCACACATCTCAGACATCATAATGTGAGCCGGTCATCCAAAGGAAGACAACTAATTATGACCAGTAATAGTGCAATATTCCTTTTAACTCACTGTGGGACTGCTCATGTGCACTCCTAGACATCCATGTATGTAGACGTGTGCATTCATACACATGCATATATGTGTGCATTGTGTATGTACAACACAAAGAGTAACGTACCAAGCAATTGTGTACTTTGCGATTTATATTGATGTCCATATGATCCAGCCAATGTATCCATATAAAATGTAACGCGCTGTATCAATAGTTGATTATTATAGCTGTTATAATCCAGAACATGTGGTATGACCAAGCCACGTATTATATAATTAAAGTATGACACTAGTCAATGTCTAGCCTTGATTATCAATGTCTGTAATCAAGGATTAACACATGCGCTACATCTATTTAATCCATGATATGAACTAATGTAAGCTAAGAATTAATATATATATATATATATATATATATATTATATATATATATAGATATATATATATATATATAATATATATATAATAATATATATTAAATATAATATATATATATATATATAATATATGAGGAATATGGGATACTTCCCAAGGATCCTTGGTAGTGATGTGGACACATCTTGTCCATACATCACACATTGAAGTTGGTGTAGGTCCCATCTTCAAGGTGTGATGTTTGGACAAGATGTGTCCACATCACTACCAAGGATCCTTGGTCCAAGTATACCCATTTTTCTCTATATACTATATATATATATATATATAATATATATATATATATATATATATTATATAATATATATATATATATATTATATAGGGTCTTACATCAAAACCACCTTTTACTTTCATCCAAATTGGACTTACCCACCTTCAAAGTTTTTTTGATGTAAACAACCTTTACTTGCTAACATGTTTACAATGTCACACCTCATCCATTTTTTAGCCAAAAAGTACGCGAAATGATCATTTTACCCTCACCATTTTCTTGTTTTTTTTTATTTTCTTCCTCACAAACCCCAACCCTAATTAACCCTAGTCTTCTCATCCTCTCCTTCTCCCT